AGGCCACCCACACCTCCCAGCACCTACAACCCATCAACTGAAATACGACCAAAGTATTATAGCCCATAGGAGACTAGCCTATTATGTACTGCAGGTAAACAGTAGGAGGGACCAAGGTGTACCATTCCCTGAGGCCCCTGCAATGGCAGGGGAATGATTAAAGTCCTGAAGTTAAGCCCTTAAAAACATATTTAGGTATTTACATAAAAGTGTCGTGGTTTCCTGAGATGCTGAGCGCACACAGCTCTCATTCAAGTAATTTGGTACCCACCATACTTGAAAATCTGGCTGCTAATATTAAGATGCCTAAATACAGATTTAGGAGCCGAACTGTAGGCAAAGTTTGAAAATATAGGCCTTAACTTCTCCGCGCCTCAGTTTCCCAGATATTAAATGGCCATAATGATACTTAACCTCCTTTGAAAAAGCACTTTAAGATCTGTGGATGAAAAGAACTAACAATAAGTTGTTGGGGTTTATTAAATCTATATATTATTTATTACCATTATAACCCAAATTTCCCCTATAGATTCAGCTGGAGACAGTCTTTACCTCTTCTCAACCGTTGCATAGTATGTACTACTAAACAGTGGCTGCATTTCAGTAGGTGAATCAGTTGAAGTAGTTGATAGCTTGTTCAACTGGGATAAAAGGTACTACACCGCTACCTCGATATAACACGACCCGATATAACACGAATTCGGATATAACATGGTACAGCAGTGCTCCGGTGGATCAAAGCAAGTTCAATATAACGCGGTTTCACCTATAAAGCGGTAAGATTTTTTGGCTCCTAAGGACAGCATTATATTGAGGTAGACGTGTATATAAATAGAATATGTTGTTCATAGATCCATAGATTTTTAAAAGCAGAAGAGACCGTTAGATCATCCAATCTGATCCCCTGTGCAAGAGAAGCCATAGCATTCCAATCAGTTTCTCTTGTATTGAGTTCAGTAACTAGAATTTGACTAAAGTATGTCTTGAAGAAAGGCATCCAGTCTGACTAGAAGACTCAAGAGATGGAAAATCCATCACTTCCCTTAGTAGCAGGTTTGTTATAAATGCTGCCGCTACTGTTATTAACTGCCTGTCCTATATATGTCTTTGACTAATTTTTAAAAATAATTAACAAAATAAAGCATATAAACTTGGGCAACTGAAAAACCTCTGCTCTAAGGGTATGTCTACAGTACCCGCCGGATCGGCAGACAGTGATTGATCCAGTGGGGTTTGATTTATCGCATTTAGTCTAGACGCGATAAATTGACGCCCGAGCGCTCTCCCGTCGACTTCTATACTCCACCGCCACGAGAGGCACAGGCAGAGTCGACGGGGGAGCGGCAGCAGTCAACTCACCATGGTGAAGACACAACAGTAAGTCGATCTAAGTACGTTGACTTCAGCTACATTATTCACGTAGCTGAAGTTGTGTAACTTAGATTGATCCCCCTTCTCCCCCCAGGATAGACCAGGCCTAAGAAAATCAGCTATATGAAAATTTCAAGTGCCAGTGTTGGTTAGCATTCACTGTAAAAACATTAAGGTAAATTTGGCACACAATAAAGAAATGTAAAGTGGTGATTCGTCTTCTGGTCAAATAGATTAGTCTGGCAGGTCCAGCTGTCAAGATAGTTGTATGTGTAGTGTAGTTGTAGCCATGTTGGTCCCAGGATATTAGAGAGACAAGGTGGACGAGATAATATCTTTTATTGGACCAACTTTTCTGTTGGTGAGAGACACAAGCTCTGTGTGGTTCAAAAGCTTTTCTCTCTCACCAACAGAAGGTGGTCCAGTAGAATATATTACCTCACCCATCTTGCCTCTCTGTGTTCTGCAATGTCATTCTTGATTGCATTACTTTAAGATTTGGACTGAAGTCACTGTAATTAGTTAAAAATAGGTACTTCTATTAGCACTGTGACTATAAAGAGTGTGGAATAAAGGTTAAATTTCAACAATAGCCACCCCATTCTGAAATGCAATGATAGTCTGTGATGGAGTAGTCTGCCTTTTACGGTTAGTGGGACCTAATGGTCAGCCCACCCCATGACGTGGGTCAAAAGGTCTGATTGTATATACAAGGCCTGTGAGACACTGTCAGACAGGGAGTGGAAGAAATCCGGTTCCTGTTTCTTTAAGGGCCCAGGACCAGGAGCCCTGCAGAGAGGGAGGGGCAAGGCTCCACACTCACTTGGATGACCATTTGGCCCGTTTTGACCGGGACAGGCTTTTTTAAGTCCTGTCCCAGCCATCCCGACTTTTTGGGCAAAAGTGGACATATATCCCATTTGCTCTTGCCAACTTGGTCAAAAGGGGGGTGCAGAGCAACTGACATCAGCCCCGTGTGGGGGGGAAGGGGGTGGAGGCAGGGCTCAGGCAGGGGCCAGACAAGGCTCAAGTGAGCAGCGATGCCAGCCGCAGCCCCACACAGGGGACAGGCAAGTCTCGGGTGAGCAGCAACTCCACCCCCGCACGGGGCAGTCCAAGATGTGACCTTCTACTTGTGCTTATGGCTGTCATTAATAAAAGAGACCTTGGAAGCAGGGTGCTCTTTGATTTAAAAAGTCTGTCTGGACTTGTTTATAACCCAAGTGAAGGGAAACAAAGCCAGGATCACCCGTAGCGCCACATCTGACCAAAAGGTGGCACATGGGAGTGACCTCCATGCCATCACATAGTCCTATCTACATTATTTGCAAATGAGATCTTCAGTCATTTATTTGTTGAGCGGTTAGAAGACTGTTCCGTTTTGGAGCTAATATTAAAAGTTAAGGTTATGAATGCATTTTGGAATTTGGAACTTATCATTCACAGGGACTAACTACATGTTAAGCATCTGCTCTTTGTACAAGCCTTTGTTCATGAAATACAGGCATATATCTCCAGTTATACATTAGTTCCAGCATTTTTTTCCTGAGTTTGGATTGTGGAAATTAGTGAAAAAGGAGAATGGATGATGAAACATGAAATATGAATACATTCATTATCCTACAATTCCCAGTTCTATTTGCCAAAACTCCACATAATGGGTTATTTGCGGGGAGAAAGTACTTCAGGTAACCTAGCCTTAGTGTACAGCCCATAGTGCAGGGAAGTATGGAATCTGTTCTGGAGAACTATTTATCAAAAATTCATACTCAGAAATAGAGGTTGGGGGAAATCCTTTTGCTTTTTTGGCTGGTCCTTGTGCTGCCTTGCTGGAAGCCAGACATGAAGGAACTCTCACTTCTCTTACTGATTTGGAAACACATTTGGCCTCAGAGAGAGGAAGCTAGAAAGAGCACTGAATAAGTTGATTTACCATCTCTTGCAGTACCTCCTTTACTGGTTCTGTGCCAGAAGCTGAAATGCTGCAGTCACAGCAGCCAAAAGGGAGTGAGGATTTGGATTAAGATAAAGGAAATGATTAAGTCAAAACTTATATCTAATCCATTGGCCTCCTTATCTGAAGCTAGCCACTTCCAGGAGTTCTGCAAACTATTGCTTTAGTGAATGAACTTACCCCTGTATTGTAATAACAAATACTTCTCCTGTGGGAATATTCATGTTGTGGGATATTAGCATTATACTGAAAAGTAAACAACTGGATTTGATACACAAGGTGTTATTTTCTACATCTATGGTGCATGTAAGTATGAATCCAAAGATGACCCAACCAGGTTGGATGTGTGTTTAAGCTGTTGGAATGTGGATTTTTTACTATCACACCAAGCACATCTGTAGTTTAGTTCAGAAGACTGTGGGCTGTATAGGATGGTAGTTGATGACATGTCTGTGATTTTGGTGAAGCTAAAAGTATTTCTCCATACAAATATTTCATTCTTCCAGGAAAAGGTAGAGGAAGAGGAACTTTTGGTTGTTGTTGCTAATGTGGCTATTTTAAAACACTCCTAACTGCTAGGGTTCTAAGATAATATGGCATTTTTCCCCCTTCCACTTGGCTTAATTTGTACCATCTATGCCATTACAGATACAGGGCCTGAGACTCAGCTGGCTTGAGTCACCATAACGCTACTGATTTCAGTGGAGCTCTACTGACTTCCATTAGTTGAGGATATACTCATAACTGACACAAGTTATCAACATTGACTTATTCTCCTTGTTTAGATTATAAATTCTTTGGGGCAGGGACTGCCAGGTCGTTTCCATTCTTAAAGGAATAGAATTAAAGCAAGAAGAATAATTAATGTGAGTAGAACAGAACAGTGGACACATGGATAAGGACTGTTTAATGTTTATATTACATTTGCACCCCAGGAGCCCTCTCAGGATCAACACCCCATGGTGCTGAGTCAGTCCAAACTTAAGGCTAGATTGTGCTTGTTTTAGGGACAGCCCCAAGTAAGGATCAGTGAGGAGCCACCCCGCACTACGGGGAGCACTGGAAGCACTCTGTCTCCCCAGAGGCTCCACATCCTTTTGTAGGGTGCAGCAGACTTTGTCATTTCCTGCCCCCATGTTGCTGGCCAGGCCCACTGGCCAGTGCATGAGTGGGGTGGAGCCATGGCCCTGCCTCTGATACCAAAGATTTTTAAACGACTCCATTCTGTCCTTTAAACACAGCACTAAAGGCATCATTAAAAGCATCCACAATTAGCTGAAAATAAGGGAAAAAGTAAATTAAATTGGCAAGAGATAGGGTGGCAATAGTAGACCATAACATTAAGATAAATAATTGAAATGTGTACATGTGCACTGAAAGGATGAGGTAATTGTTCATAGTTTGGTATGTGTGGAATATTGGCATGCCTCCAAGTAAAAAGTGGAGCATGCTCAGAACAAAAGTAGGCTAAAGTTCACACAGCCACTGAAAGTAGGTCAGATGTTGACATGCTCAGTACAAATGTAGACTAAAGGTCACCTAAGTAGGTCAGCTAAGCATACTCAGTGTGAATCTAGGCTAACGGTTACAGACCATAATACTACAGACCATAATACTACAACGGTGATTGACAGTTATAATTCCAACAGTTATGATTGGAGGATAAAGAAAGGATTAGAAAAGTAGCCATTAAAATGAGGGTCTGTTGGTTGGCTAAACTGTATAAAAGGCAGTGTGCCAGGAGAGACTTTTAAAGGTATTTGGGGAGTTGTTAGGGAATGTGTTAGGTAGGAGTCATCCAGGAGGTTGAAAAAGAAGGTCAAAATAGGTCGGTCAGGGTCAAATCGGGTGGTGTGGTTATTGCAACAGAAGCAGCAGCAGCCGCAGCATCGCCAACAAGTGCAGTGACAGAGCAGAAGGAGCCCTGACAGAACAGGGGGATAGAAGCCAACAGAGAAAGTGAGCCTGCTAGTTGTATTTATAATACAGGGTTAGTGTATATGCATGTATATGTCTGAGTTAATAAAAATGAGTGTATGTTGTGTGTGTTATATTAATCTGTATGTATAAAATTTAAATAAGGATATATATAAGGATTGCTGTCAGCGAACAGCAAGTGACTGACACTGCATGCAGAGGGCAGTCATTTAGTATTGCTCTAATCATATGTCCAGGGCTGGCCCTTCCACTAGGTGACCCTAGGCGGTTGCATAGGGTGGCAGGATGTGGGGGGCGGCATTTCGACGCCCTCTGCGGAATTTCGGCGGTGAGGGGCTTCTTCCGCTCCGGGACGTCGTCAACAATTCGGCAGCGGGTCCTTCACTCGCTCTGGGACCCGCCGCCGAGGTGCCCCGAAGACCTGGAGCAGAAGGACCCCCGCCACCGAGAATGCAGCTTCAGAGGAGGAGCTGCCGCGGATTACTGTGGAGGAGCGCTGCTGCCTAAGGCGGCAAAAACCCTGGTGCCTCCTGCATATGTCATTGCTGTTTGCATGCTTTTAGCCTCAAAGATTGTGTTAATAAAAGGCATTTATGTTTAGTTTATTATACCTTATATTATGTTATTTGCACCAAATAAAGAGGTGCCTTGTTTTGGAAAAACAGTGCCTGTGTGTTAATCATTTTTATCAGAAGGCTGTATCCGTGTCCTCTTGGGGTAACAGGTCCAAGTTGTCCTGGGGAGTATCTCAAAGGGAGAATCTTTGTTACACCCAAGATTCCTTGCCCACCCTGGGAACCCACACCTGACAGAAACAGATTAGCAGGCTAGGTAAGCTGTTTTAGTGGGGACCCTTAGCAAACCTGGGAGGGGGCAATAGGTGAGCAATTCTGGGGGGGTACCCTAAATCTGTTTGTGGGGTAATATCTCCTCCATGTTCCCTTTTGGGCACCAAGTTCCTGCCAGAGTGTAGAAATCAAGCAGTTCCTGTGCTCCCCTGAACTCAGAGACTACGATTCTACTTGGCTCCAACACTGGGCCTTGCATCCTCTCCCACTCTACATACATGCATAAAGGTCAGGCAGAATCTGGTGCACAGAGAGAGTCCTGGACCCTTTCCCAAAGAGCCTGCAATCTAAAACACTGGTAACTGGCAGGATGCTCTTCTTCTTTCATGTGGCATTTGAAAAGCAATGGGCTGGGATTATCATTCAATTTTGAGATTCAAAACCCATTCTAATGCTTCTGGAGTAGGTAGGTGAATCCCTCTTGTGTTACCACTGTATGTGTGAAGGGGGCAGTTGTCCATGGTATGTCACATGGTTTGTACCTCACCACAAGCACAATTTGGTGCTTTGATTTTCTGTTTGTGGAGGAGATATCCACACCTTCCGTGCATTGTCTGAACACGGTCAAGTGAAGTCCACTGCCTATGGAGAAGGCAGAATCCCAGGACTTCTTTTGTTGGATTTTCCATCAGGGCTTTGTTTGGGACGTCACAAGCAGCCCAAAATTCGATGCCACAACTACATTTTGGCATAAGAAATAATTGCTTATTTTAAAAAGATAAAAAAGTAACTTCTAGCTCTTGTCACCTCACCTTCTGCTAAATTCAATCTTATCCAGGTGAGTCTGCAAAATTTGGGGTGTCATATCTCAGGAGAACAGGCTCTCTTATGCAATTTCCAGCACTTCTGCTTCTTGGGTGTGATCTTGCAATATAAAGTTGAAGTCAGTGGGACTTGAGGGTGGTCAGCACTTTATAAGATTGAGCCCTTAATCTCAATCAGAAATACCAAGAGAACAAACAATCTAGTGGCATTTCACTTCCAGTGTCATCAGGAGCCCAGAAGAACACTGGTGCAGGAAAATGCAAACCAACTCCTCCCCACACACAAATGTTGAACAAGATTTGATCTGGTTTGGGTCTTACCACAAGAGTGGTAAGAATATATGTCTTACCACAAGAGTGGTAAGAAATATATTTCCCCAAAATAATTATTACATTCCTAATTTCAAAGATATCTCTACACTTACAATATAAGAAATTTCTTTTGATTTACAGATCTTTCTCTTGCATCTTATCTTGTAAGTAAATTATTTAATATTCTGTTTAAGATTCCTAATTAGTATCAATTGATTTGAAGTTCAGCACCCTGATGAAAGGAATCCCATCCCAAATCATTTGCATGACAGAGTATTTATCTCCTGTCCTTCTTTCATTGTTTAAAATCTATTTGTGCACAGAGATGTCACAAGAAAAAGTGTTGATTGCTTCTTATTTATTCAGGTCAGGAAAGAAGATCATTAAATATGTTGTTATATAGTAATTATGTCATCAGATACACAGTGCAGAACTCTCCTTAGTGAAGAGGAATTTCCTTTACACCTGACGATAACGTTTTTCAAAATAAAATATGTTAAAGCTTAGAAGTGTATCTTGGCAGAACATCATACCATTAAAGCAAGATTAAATGTATCCTGTCCAAATCTCTTGCTTCTTGTAGTGGTGCCTAAGGCTCAGTCCTCCAGATGTTGAAACTACTAGTAGAAGCTAGAATGTTGTATAGAAAAACCTCCTGTGACTGCAGACACTTATAATAGGAATCTTGTCTTACTTTCCAAAAATAGCTCGCCCAGTGTTATGCACATGATGAGTGATAACCATAGTAAGAAAAAAAGCACAAAAAGTTTTCTTTCAAAAGCTGCCTGCAGCGGCGGGAGTAAATTTGGACAGGGCAGCTGGTCTCAAATGGCTCCCACCCCCAAGCCATGTGGAACTGGAGTTCCAATTTACCTCAAAGTGGCCATAAATTGTCCTGACCTTAGAAAGGAAACAGTAAATGCTGCAGCAGCAATAGGACTGAGGTCAAGAGAGAGATAGAGACTTCACTGCACCAGCAGCAGCCTGACACCATCAGGTCTAAATGTCATTGAACTGTATGGGTCTTATTTACACAGAGCCCACTTTACATCACTTGGGTAGTGTAAAGGCACCTTAAAGCAGATGTAAGTGAGAATCATGCCCCATCAATTTCAGTAACCAACATCATCATTTGGGCAGGGGACTAAAGGATAGTGATGGAGCAGAGTCCCAGAAAATGGGAGGAATTATCTCTTGGATACTCAAGACAGCTCAGAGAATTGGAACATTGCTGGGGTGGGGTAGTCCAGGAGGATTTGGTGCATGGAAAAGTTGGTCACTTTTAAATGCAATGGGACTTTTTGGATAGGGATGGGTTTAGATGGTTGCTAGAGAGAGAAACAGGGAGATTTAATGGTTTATTTTTATAATAAATCCCTATAAAATTCAAGAGAGATGTAACCTGTAGATTTCTATGGAAATTAAATAGGATTCTACAGATTGCTTAAAAACCCAGTAATGCAACATCCTGGTCACACTAAAGCTGCTTTGCCCTGCTGTAACTCACATACTTAAAGTCAAGCATATACTCAAGTGGTTGCTGGAAAGAGGTCTTGTCTCTTAGGCTTGTACATGGTAAGATATTCTTGCTGATACTTAGACTATGCTGTCTGGTCTGTTGCTGTCATTTCTGCACTGAAGATGACTCTGGAAATGAGTGCCCAGGAATGGATGTCAGCATGGAAGAAGACAGGCATGGACGATTGTTGATACTTGTTAAAATTAGACATGCAGTGCACCATCCTCAAATGAACAAATCTTGGGAATTAATTGATCAGGCCATTATTAAGAGGATTGGTGAAAGTTAAAAAGGCACGGCCAACTCACCTATTAGGATGAGTGTACATTGAATTTATTGTGCTTAAAGTTATGCACATGCTTACCAACTTTTGCTGCAGAGGGCCCTAAATGAGCAGAAGCTTGGAAAAGTTCATTCAGCAAAGCAAACACATGGGAAAAAGCTGACTGCAACTCTAGTAAAAGTAATCTGTGAAAGGAGTGTTATTTTCCTATCTGCTATTGTCCACCACATAATACCTCCCTAAATAGACAGGAGAAGATATTGGAGGTGCTATATTTACAGATGTGATAAATCTACAGTCTTAATGGGAGGGGATCAATCATGTAAAACTCACTGAGTCTGTGCAGCAATAGGAAAAGTACACCATGTGGTTTGACATTCACTGGTAATAATATCATCCGAGTCCTACTTTGTAAATGTATCTAACAATATATATATTTAGGGTATCACACACTCTTGTTTTTTGCCTATGCTTTAAATAATTTCTGTTCAAACATCCTATCCTGGGTCATGGATGTATGCTTGGCAGTAGTAGAAGCAACATAATTCCCAAGTAAGAAAGGTCATGGATAGGGCAGTGGGACTTGAGACCCAAAGCTGGAAAATGTATTAACATACTTTAATCAGTCAGACTAAATTCCACTATGGCATATTTCCTCAACAAATTAGTTAAGAGGATTCTGGGTTCTGTCACTGGGGAAAAAAAGCACTTAATCTTTTATTCTCAAAAAAAAAAGGAAGAAAGAAAGAAAGAAAAGAAACGAACAAATAGTAGAAATCAAATTACACTTTTGGTAAGTGATATTTTTGCACGTGCTTATATTTATTTATTAAATATATTATTTATTTTAATCTTGTGTTTAAAGGGTTGGAATGGGACTCAGGAGATCTGGGTTCAGTTTTCAGCTTTCCTGGGCAACCATAAGTAAGGCATTTAATTCCTCTTTGTCTCAGCTCCCCATCTGTATCACTGCCTTTCTCCCCCCCTTTGTTTGTCCTGTCTAGTCAGGTAATCGACTCCGCAGGGCAGGAACTCTTTCTTATTGTGTGTTTTTACAGTGTAAAGCACGAGGGCCTGATTTCAATGGAGCATCTAAGAATTACTTCAATATGAACAATAGTTTTGGTTTTGTCCAAATTCCACTAAGCAGCAGCTTATGATGATGAACAATCATCTTTTAAATTGTAAGTTCTTTGGGACAGGAACCGTCTGTTTGTTCTGTGTTTTTATAGTAGGGTGCTCTTAGCCGTTGAGTGTTTTCTTTTCATCTACATTGGAGCAATCAACTTTACAGC